GCAATCAAAATAAACTTATTATTAATATTAGTAAATGTTGCTACATTTCATATTGTCGAAAACTTAATATCGTTGATTTTTCTTATTCAATAGAAGGTACACCGTTAGAACGAAAAACATCGATCAAAGATCTAGGAGTTACTTTTTATAGCTGCTTGACTTTTGATATTCATCTTACCAACATTTGTTTTGATGTTGACAAATAAGATAAAAATCTGTACTTTTCATTTAATTTAATTGACTGATGATTATGATACAAATCAATTTTGTAATAATGAGGTTAGTCTATGAATGTTGTATGTTACTTCATTTTGTTGTGTTCATGTTTTAAGAGATTTTTATATGAAGCTGTGATATGATCTTGTTAATTTACATAATTAATAGGAGTAGGAGTAGGACATACCCACCTGCTTGCCATGTTTTCTTCATGTACCTGCTATAGATCTTATAGCCCTGTTGGTCGTATATCGCGTTTATCGTTAGCATATAGTGATATTGATATAGTGGGTGTCTGTCTCACTTCTTTCAAGCGCAATATTCGGACTACACTGTCAACTAGTTTTTAATATTTTTATTTTTTTTTTGTGTGTTTGGTCTATGTTATCTATTTACATATTTTTTAGAGATGTACCGACTGTAGGTCTGGCCGACTAGCCGACTAGCTGATTGTTCGGCCAGTAAAAACCGACTAGTCGGCCGACTGTTCGGCTTTGCTAAAACCGGTTTATAAACGCGACAGTGTGTTTTTTTTTCTACGAGTATTTCTCTGACTGCCTTAAAAATTTGTTTTTTTTTTAAATAAAAGGAATAACCAAAGTTCCTTTGTTTTCCAAAAAATGTGTTAAAATTTGTTTGGATAATTTTAACATTTAATTTTTTGCAGTAACTCAGTACAAAAATAAAAATTAACACAATTTAGATCCAGTTTATACAATATTTTAACTGAGATTAAGTTGATCGCGCATTTAACAAGGCCATTAGCGACGTCTGATTGGCGTAGAGTCGGTCACATGGTACTTTAATGCGGTGTTAAAAATTAAATCGCAATTAAATATTTAATTGAGGTTCTGTAAACCGGGTTTAATTGTTTTATATACTATTTTAATTTTAATAAAAAAAGCCGACCGATCGGCTCTTTAGCCGACCAGTCGCCGACTGTGAGCCGACGATGAAAAACGGCCGAATAGTCGGCTTATCCGACCGGTCGGCCACTAGTCGGTACATCCCTAATATTTTTCCATTTTTGTAACTGGTCTAACCGTTAAATAAATCATTATTATTATTATTATATCTTTTATTTTAGATATCTGTAATATATAAACTGTGACTAGTAGGTACATAGACAATTACCTGTATAATTTGTTAAATTCTAAATAAGTTCTATATGCTTTCTGCAGATAATTGTTGAACAAATGGCTCCAACTAAAGTGTTCTCAAAATGTTTGTTTCAGCTTAATTTTATATCTCTAGCACTTTCATGCATAATAATCAAAACCCTTTATTTTCGTGAAGACTCGACGTCCTAGTCATTCCTCAGTGAAATCCAGAATCCAGATAATTCAACTTTCCAGACAAAACTTAGTAGGCACGTTGTAATTTATTAAGCATACCATCACCTGTAGGAAGGATTAGGTACTTATGCAATAAACTAAACCTTAATTCGCACTTACGATCTTTATTTTTAATTGTGTTGCTGAAAGACCCAGTAGTAGTGGTATGTACAACAACCTACTTCGGTAATCTTGGCTGATAATAAAAAGGAGGTAAGCACATGTTGTTTTGAGTGGAAAATATTGTTGAATTACAATTTATAATAAACAACAATTTTACTGGCGATCGTAACGACGCAATTAAGCAGTTACTATAAAATTCAATGCAAACTTCAAAAATTAAACACACCACAATAGGTAGTTTTAGATCACAGACTACCTCCGGTTTTAGATGTATAGTTTGCGAGTCCAATTTGGCGCCTTGTCGGGCACACATTTCGTATCCCCGCTACAGTCCTTTCTTCATATAGGCTATATACCTACATACAACATATCACTGGGCTAGGGTGAATCCATGGTTCCCGCCCTCCACTCTGGGTGAACGCGGATTGGCCTGAAAGCGGCCTTTCGTGGTTAAGGCTCCTCCTTACAGTCTTTAAAACACGTCAAAATCCACAAAACTATAAAGTAATTATTTTACCATCTATAAAATGCTGATAGTGTAGAAAATATTGTTACTTACCTCTGGAGTTATCTTCATTTTTTTTTGTAACACGATTCATATTTTAGTTATTGTTGTGTATATAATAAGCCGGCTCGTATATACCTATTATAGGAGTATGTACCTAATAATAGCCACTCGGTTGCGTCGTGTTTTATAAGTCGAAAATTTTATTTGGTGGCGTTATTACAATTCAAGCGGAAACTATTAACGATAATAACTAATAACATTTATACCTATTTGCACAAATCTATTTTAACTTCGACTTATTTTATCTACGTCTCTCCACCAGAAAATTAAAAACTGTAATCAGTTAATAACTTTGTAAGGATCCAATTCGAATTTTTAAATTTCAAACGAATTCCGCGCGCACAAGAAACGGTTAGTGAGAAGAAGGAGAGGTTGGCAACCAACCACCCCAAAGAAACAGAGATGCGCAAAGCGAGGGTGATATTGTCTTGAAAACGGTCACTTCCTTTTGATCGCTTGGAGAGAACGGTCGACTTCTTTTCGAGCGCTTCGAGCAACAGGTTGTATTTTTAATTGTGAATTATTCTGTGCCTTTTGCTGTTGTGTTTTGTTTTTCCAGTGTTGATCTGTTCCATTGGAAAACTTAGCAGCCCCCGTTGAGCCATTGGGTGTTCCTGATTTCTCATCGTTCTTACGACGAGGTTTTTGTGTTCCTGTTGGCGGTAAGCCGTGTCGAAATATTCGCATCTTTGGAGAGGTATGTTTTGAACACCTGTTTTGGCGGCGAGTTCAAGCCCCGACGATGCTTCTGGCCTCGTGACATCGACGCGTGCGCTTTTTTTTCCACTAATCTCGTTTTTTTATCTTTCATTTAAAATCCATCGCAGTAGGGCTTTACAGGAAGTGATTTCTAGTTCGGGCCATGCTTTATTTAGCTATATTTGTGAAATCTGTATTTTGGATGGCGGCAAACGAGTTGTTATTTTCACCGTTCTTTGTTCAGGCAGCGGCCATTTTGAAGCGTCCATTTGTTTCTTTTAATCGAGCACATGTTTTAACTGAATCTATTGAACAAATTAACAACATTGTGGGTCATGGGGGGACGTGCCTTTATTCCTTGGATTTAGCACATCGTTTATACAACGCCACAGGATTCATCGTATTTTTGCATCGCATATTTTCGACGCCTATTATTTGGAATGACGAATTCGTCCAACGCCATTTTGGATCTGCAGATTGTCTGCCATGTTTGTTTATGTGTTTTGTTTGGGGAAATGTATGTGTAATAATGGCCCACAATGCATTTAAATAATTTCACGTTTGAATTTTAACCAATAACTTGACTGGACACGAATTAATATTAATCACATGTAAATCTGTTAACTTTACACTCTTTCACCTCATGCAATTTGTCTTTGTCTCACAATTTAGCTTCAGTAATTTTCTTGGCTGTATAATTTGAATTGAATGTAAATTTCCATGCTCTACAGTTTTGACCTAACATGATATTTTATTTGCACAAGTCTATTTCACACCAGATCTTTGTTTTATAAATCCTTGCTAAGTTTTGATCATGTAAATGTTTTGTTGATGAATATTTCTATCATGTAAATTATCTGATGTCCAAATTTAATCTCAATTAAGAATTATTTGTTGTTGAATTTTCGTAAGAGTGTGTGGCGAATTTAAATGTTGTTTATTGCTCCTTGTTGAAACTTTAACACTTGTTCGGTTGTCATTTAATATTAGAGTCATAGAGATTGAACATTTAAATAGAATTGGAGGTAAATAACACAATAACACGTAGTGTCGGCGATGGGCGCAGTTCCTAGTTGCGGTAGCGGAATGTGTCGCGCTCTCTGCACATATGTGCAGGCTTTGAACTAGATTTCAGTGGGAACGGTCTTGACGACGAGGTAGTAGTTGACGAGACTTCACCGCTAGTTTTAGGCCGAAACGGCCTGCTTGGACAACATGTTCGTAATGGAGGGGTGATGTCTGGCAGGCTTGGTGTAGATAGAATCACCGTCGCGGGGGAAACCAGCCCAGACCGGGAGCTCCAAACTTCGCTCACGCTACGACACCCCCTCTGGGTATTTTGCTGTGCTCGTAAATGAAATTGATATATTTTGTTTTATGTTTTGTTCGATCGCCACACTCTCATAATGATTCGGGTTCTGCCATCCAATTTACATATGTGTAGGGTTTTGTATTTGTTCGGTTTTCATATGTGTATGTCTGTCAATTCGCGAGTGTTTTTCTTTCACATATCTTAAGGTGTCTGACATGTAATATGTCGGTGAATAAAACCCCAGGGGGTTTTGGGGAATGAAGACCGATGATGCCTTGGCCCTGCGGACTCGCCAGAAGGGCAAATCGAGCGTCTGTCGTTCTTCGTTTCTTTTTCCTCCTTAGGAAGGCTCCTAATTTTGTCTATTATTTCTTGCGCTCTCGACAGTGTATGCACTTGTATGAAAGAACGTCTTCCCGCCACTTTTCAAAACCAAAAAAAAAAAAACACACAACGTAGGTTCTCATTTGTTAGACGATCACAGCCAAGGCCAAACTTTGAATTTTTAAATTTTTCGCGGGCCTTTCAAACTGTTTCAAGGTCAAATTTTAAGGCGGGAAGTTTGGGTTATCACAACTTAATGCCGGACCTGACAAGGTAACTTTATCTGTTACCCACATAACCTAACATTTAGTGGTGTTAAAAGTTAACAAGAACAAGTACCTAATTAAACAGAAGTCATAAGCAAAGATTTCAGTGTAGTTACTGGAATCCTAGGTTTATATCAAATGGCTTAATAAGTACAAAATCAAATGTACCTACATGTTTATTAACAAAGAAAAATTAGTTAGGCGATACATATTTATAGAATTATAATAATTAATATAGCGATCTCTTTAATACTTAACCTCCTCGTTAATTTAAGTTGTTCACTTATCGGTGGCATTAGAATCCAGTAACCGAATTAACCCCTTTACATAATTCATAGTTTCTATAAGTTCGTCGAGCAATTGTTCATCATCGTCTTCGCAAACCACTTTGTGAAGTTCTTGTAGCAATCGCAGCAAATTTTCGTGAATAATGTAATAATCAATGGAATATTTTGAACCTAGGTAGTATTTAACACTTTCGTCAAAAGACCACGCCTTTTCCTTGATTTCTTTAACAAACTCGACACAATTTCTTGAAACTTTGGAAGAATCCAATTTGAAATCAAAATAACTCTCCAATTCCAAAATTTTTTCAGACTGCTTCTTGCTGGTTACTAATTTTGCCACGTAGTCATCTAAATGTCCTAAACAAATATTAAGTTCTAGTAAAAATTCTTGCTTTTGGGAATCTAGTTCTGAGTCTCCCTGAGGCATTGCATCGACATATTGTTTCCAACAAAGCAATTGATCCATATATTTCTTAAATTTAGTACAAGGCACAGGAAAAGGTAGTTGCATAACGTCTTCCTTAAGATTATTTAAATAAGTTCTCTTGTCGATTAATTCAAGCTTACACTTTTCTACTTTGATTTTACTTTCCAAATCTTTTATAATATTCGTGATTTCACGGTTATGTAAAGATTTCTTCATTGAACGAAGTACGCATTCATCTTCATCCAGGTACTGTTTACGTATTGCAGTAGCCAACTTTTTGTTGGTAATAATTCTCCTTTCAATTTTTTCCAAACATTCCTGAGATTTACGAATATGCTCATTTTGTTTGAATTTCTTCTCTAAAAGCTCCAGTACTATGTCACACCTTACAGAGAATGTAAGTGCAATTGGATTATGATTTCTGGTGAAAGCACCCTTAAATGTATGGACCAATTGTGAAATTTCGTATATTTTGCTTTGATATTCCTCGAGAGAAATAAGAGAATTCGAATCCAATATTTCGTTTTCATATTCATTCAGTTGATTTTTAACTTCTAGAGAGATCTCATGATTTGTAAAATCGGTTGTTTGAAAAGTCTGCATCAAGTGATGAATTTCTTTTTTCTTTAATTGTATTTTCTGGTGATTATCTTCATCACGAAAATCCATTTCTTTGAGATGGGTGTTTAATTGTTCTAGTTTATCCTCTATTTGAATATTTTCTGCATTCTGAATTTCAGTAATAGCCTGTTTTGTTTTCTCTAAAGATTCCAGTCTAAGAAACACATTTTCATTGTAGCTAGCAGTGTCCTCTAAGATTCTCACAGCTTGATCTACATCTTTCTCCAGAAGTTCAACATGTGCTCCAATATGCGGATATTCTTTAGGAAGCTCGCCCAGATTAGATTTTAACCCTCGAATTTTTTGACGCCTGGACTCAAAGTTGTTAGTTCTCTTTGGAAATGGAAATTGTTCTGCGTTTAAGATTTCAGTGTTAACAGATTCAGAGCACTGTCTTAGATAACCTGTTGATTCCAGTAAACTAATTCCCTTTAATTTGTTCAAAATCAATGTTTTTTGATTGTTTACTTCAGGAGTATTACTCTCGATTCGGTCAATGTTTTTTCTAACATCATCCAGTTTTTCTTTTTTTACTATAAAGTTATCACGCAAGTGCGCAATTTGCATAATTTCAGTTTCGCATTCTTTTAATAAACTCATTTGATTGTTGCATATTATTCTCCCTTCTTTAAATTTGTTTAGCTTAAATTTTAGATCCAGTCCTTTGTTGTAAATCAATTCTTTTTGTTGAATAATTTCTGGATATTCCTCAGAGATACTTTCCAGACGACAGTTAATCAAATCGTTTATATTTTGTTCCAATTCTAACAAAATTATTTCGTTAACAGGTTGTAAGTTTTTTATTATATCTGCATATTTGTTCAGCTCTTCTGTGACATTGTCAATAATAATTTGGAAATGTTCGAATTTATCTTCCGTTTGCACGTGTTCTTTCTGCATAATTAGCTCCTCAGAATCTGAAGAACAAAAGTTGTTGAAAAATGGATAAGTTTTAGATTAACTAATTTAGAGACTTACGGTTGCTAACAAGGTCTTGTTGCTCATTTGTTACGTCTTCACTTAATGACAAATTTTCATAGGTTTCACCCATTTTAATACGTTTTGCTTCTATTGGACAAGCCGGTGAACTATGGTCAGATTTACTTCTAGATACCTTCTTCGCTGACGTTTCTGTGTCCATAATAACAAGTGGTTCAAGATTTACAGCAGCGTTAACCTGGATTTGTTCTTGTTGAACTTCCGAGTAGTTAGTACCACAGCTGTCTGGTGGTTCGTCTTCAGCTTTAAATGGTACTAATTCGTCTATAAATTGTTGCGTTTTATAGGAGTGACACGCATCTCTTGTTTTCTCTGTTGAGAATTTGGCTTTTACATAATTCTTGTTATTGTGGTGCTGTGACTGAATTGCTACGTTGTTGATCCTTGTATCATCAACTTCAAAATGTCTATAGGTTTCACCTAATTTCTGGAAATGGTCTACAACATGTGTACATATTTAGAAATTAACTACTTAAATATTTTGAAAAAAATTACTTTCATGTCCAGTAGTTGTGGACTGCAGTTGTTCTTTTTGGCTATGCAAAACACAAAGTGGTTTGTTTGAATTTTTACGTTCCAGTCGAGTAGTTTCTTGGTTAGTTGCAAATTGCTTTAAGTTTTCTACCACACGGTCGATATCATTTTGATAATTTTCCAATGTTTCTTCAGCTGGCGAATTTTCAGTCAGCATTTCTGACAGAATTAGCTCACCAGAAACTGAAGAAAAAAAATAAACAATAATTAAACTGATTAGTCGAGGATACTTACTTTTCCTGCTTGAAATATTTTCTTGTGCAATACTGATTTTAGAAGGCTTTAATTTTTTTGAGAAAGTTGATGAGATGTGGTCAGATTCTTGCATAATTATTTTCGTCCGTAGTGTGTCTGTCCTTGTAGTATAGTCCTGTTCAAAATTTGTAACGTCTCTGGCTTCATCCTTGATTTGCGTTTGTTCTTGATACATTTCTAACTGGTTGTTGAATTTTTCACCTTCAACTTTAAATATTTCTGTTTTATCAGTAGGCTGCTGCGCTTCAAAAGTATTTTCTAGTTCTTTTCTTGAAATTGGTCCCGTTATATTCCTTTGTGGAGATTGCACTGCTGCGTTATTGCTCTTCTTTTCATGAGTTTTTGAATTTTCACAAATTGCTTGTGCTTCGTCGAAATCATCTATAAAATATTTGAGAAAACATGTTTAAAAATTAACCGCTTCTATATATTTTGGGAAAAATTACGTTTGCAAAGAGGTGCCGGTTTTAATTGTTCTTTTTGACTATGCAAGGATGCAGACGATTGTTTTGAATTTGTACAATCTAGTTGGCACGGTTCTTGTTCCATTGTATTAAATTCATTGTAATTGTTTGTAACAGTTTCTTGTTCAATTCTTCGGGCTGTATAAATTTGTTCTGCATTTATAATTTTAAAATCGTTTTGTACATTTTTTAGGTGTGTATCTGTGTTACAAATCGCAACGATTGGTGGAAATTCGTCGCAGATGTTTTCAGGACGAATGTCCGTTAAATAGTTCACATTTTTTTTCAATTCGAACACGTCTTCTTTATTAGAAGTTTGCAATTTTTTTGCAGGAGCTGTAAGTTCGTTTAAATATCCCAGTGTATTGCCAAGCATAATTGAACAATTTTTTAATCTATCTTCAGGATGTGAGCCATCGTTCTGAATTTGGGACGGGATTAGTTCTGCTGAACCTGAAAAACAAAAACTAGTTAAAAATTGACAAAGTTTAAAGTGAATATTTTAAACAATTACATTTGATACCAGAATTTTGTAGCTTTTTTGCTACATCCTCCTGTATTGAAAAAGTTTCCTCTACGTTCCTCTTTTTAACATTATTTATTTCTGTTTGGTACGTCGGTGAGATATTATCAAACGTATCCTTAACTGTCTTCCTATTGTCTGGCATTTCTGTGAACATAGACTTTGGCTCAAGCTCTTCCAAGCAGGTACATGCAGAATTGTTTTTTCTTTCAATTTCAATATTAAAGCTTGCTAATTTATCTGTAGATTGGTGCCCCTCAAAATGACTAAAGTCAATTTTAATTTCTTGAGTTGAAAGCTTTTCCATTACATTTCTTTGGTTTCCGTGGTCCTGTCGCTTTTGCAGGAACCAAACTTCTGCGTTGTTACCCTTTTTTCCGATTTGGTCTAAATCATCTACAAAATATAGAGGTATTAACAAAATAACCGTTAGAACTGGTCGAAATTTACTTATGTTTACGAAGGTTGCTTGTAATTGCTCTTCTGGGCGACCCAAAGTAGGCACTTGTTGTTGTGAATTGTTATAGTCAAATCGCCTCGATTCTTTCTTCACCGTACCTTTCTGATTAAAGTTGCTTGTATAAGCTTCTGTATTATTAGATTTTGTTTCTTTATTTATAAAGTTATGTTTCTCAATGCTCTCCCTTATCGCATGAACTTTGCTGTCAATATTTTCAAAAAGCTCTTCTTTTTGAGCGCGAACCTCAGCATTAGTGCTATTGAAATCGTGGACTTTTTTCCTCAAAGATTCCAGTTTTTCTATCTTTATGGTCTGGTCAGTCCGTGATGCAAAAATATCGTAAATCTCAACTTCTATGTATCCTAGTGAGGCTAAATAGTCGTTTATTCTATTAGCATCCAACACACCATTTTGGGTGTTGTTTTTTGCTTCTTCTTCTGGTATATTTTTTGTATTGTTTTCCAGTGAACTGGTGTTGCTTTTTTTTCCATAATAACCAGATTCTTGACTAAAACCCAGAAAAGGTTTGTTTGCGTGGTGTTCTCCCATAAAATCTTCTTTTGTGTTCATGTTTGCCCAATACTTTTCTGTCTGTTGCTGCATTGAGACATTTGTAGTCGATGTCCCAATTATTATGCTGTTTTGCGAAGGTTTGCTTTTTTCATTTAAAATCTCCTCGGGTTGTTTTAAAGGCTGCCGTTCCGAAACTGAAGTTTGACTGCCACATTTTAGATTTACATCTGCCCTTTGTATTTTTGTTTTCTTGTTGGTCAAGTTTCGGCTACTTGTTTGAGCATTTAAATTACCTACAAAAAAAAATAATCAAAATTCAATGGTTACCTTTCGAAAATTGTTTTGTACGTGTTGTCGTCCTATTTTCTTGTTTTCCACCAATGGTCCTGTTCGCTGATGTACTATGGATGTATAAGTGCAAAATCAAAAAAGCGATATCTTCTTTTGTCTCTTTTGGTATTGCGATCCTTGGGTTAGTGTCAAGTTTCTGAATAGAGGCTATAACCAATTGCAGTTTATTTCCAAATTCACTTTTGCTTATTTTTTTACGTTTCACTTCATCCTCGATTTTAAATAAATCTTCTTTAGTTGTACGAAAATCTATACCTGCTGCAAAATATATCAGCTTTATTTTCCGAATAACAAAATCTAAACAATTATCAGCTTTGGAAGTAAATCGTTAATCCTAAATCTAAGTTACAAACTCGGATTTTTCATATTACACTAATTATGTCAGAATGTATCGAGTCAATAGTATTGATTGTAGTCGAGTCATCAATGATAGATGTGTAGACTATGACCTTATCTTAAATACTGTGGACCATTATGGATAGAAGTTTAAATATATGAAGTTTAATTAATGATTTAAGCAAATTTTTGTGTTGGCAATTCTGAATTATTGGTATCCTTGCTCGTATGTCTGTTCACAGTTGACAGTTTTACATGAGCACGTCTAACAAACGATGGTAGCTGTTACAAGTGTCACTTTAATAGTGAAATTAGGTATCCCATCAATTATAACATTTTAAATAGGTTGTCAACCTGACAAAAAAATCACGAACGTTAATAGTCACTCGGTATTTTTCCTAATGCATTAATGCATATATGTAAAAATCTATTGCAGCCTTGACGACTAAATTTTGTTATCAATTCAACTTTATGAATGACACTGAATTTAACTTAACCTCATATTTTCACATTTGTTTTTTCCGTTTTTTTTTTGGCATTCCTTTGTCGTTTGTGATTTAAATGTAAATTGTAAAAATCACTTTCTTCTAAGAACTTTCGTTCCACTACTGTTGAAGAGTGGAAGGTATTTGACAGTTTTCTGTTCTGAACACAATCCCAATCGAGAAATTTCCCTGTCGAAAACTATGCATATTTGCCACTGTACAAGTGGCAGGCACAAGGAGGTTAAATGTATAGAGAGAGTACTGGGCTCGTTGTTTTGTGTCGCACATATCGCACTGTGAGAGCAATACTCACGTAACTCAAAACCAGCGTGTTTCGAGTAATGATGATTTAAAATTCCCAAGCTATTATATATTATTTGTATCTTAAATACCAATGGCTTCGAAATACATTATAGTCGTATTGTTAGGTGATGTTATCCGTTTAGTTTTCAGTGAATTTACAGTAGATTTTGTTTCATAAATACTAGACAACTAGTTGGAAACTGAACCCAATTTTTTTTTTACAATATCTTTGATATGCTATTAGTGTCCGGAACTTATAAAATTGGAGAAAAAATGACCTGTTTTGCTCTAATAAAATCGCAAATATGCTTAAAATCACACTAATATTAGGTCCGACTGTGCCCAACATAGTTACAAAATTCAGATTAAAGTAAGTCATGGACATTCTTTGAAGTGTTTACTATGATATTTCAAAAAAAATAAAAAATTCGCGATTTATAAAACTTCATAATTTTGATTTAAAACTGATCATGTTTGAAGCTTTATTTTATTCGTTCCATTTGCTGTCTCTTGCTGCGTTCTCTCTCGGATTGGGGTATAACACCCACCGAACGTTCTTGGACCGATGGGATAATTTATTACTTCCGACATCTTTTCGGTGACAAATTTAATCTTTGCATAAATTTACTTCAGTGTAGTTAGTGAACTCGTTGTGACCATTGAAATATATAAGGAGTAAATTTTGAAATGGGACGAAAGTCGAAGATTCCACTTTCAAAGTCACGAAAAAGTCGAAAAAACTTTTATCAGAATTATTATGTCAAAAACCTACTAAAACTACAAACAAAAAATGCAGTTTAATCATCATTTGATTAGTTTTACTATTATTATGCTTTTATTTCCTAATTTCTGTACATATAAATATTATTGTTTTTTAGACCCGCCGCTGTTTTTATACACTTACATAAAGTGTAAGTCAATGTTACTAATAGAAATTTTATTATTGTTACTTTATATAATCACCAATCCTATTGCTTCTCGGCTTTTTGTCAAAGATCAAAGTGTATTACCTGAAAGAATTTTATTTTGTTAAATAAAAGATTACCATAAACCTTATAATTAGCCGGATAACCATTCAGTATACACAGGTAGTTTCTATACCTCTTTAGTTTGAACTTAGCCGATACCAACCAGCTAGGGAACCAGTTATAATTGAAATATGTAATCCAAATAATTGAAGTACTTAGTTTTAAGTAAAACAATTGGGTATATTTATAAATACGCATAAATAAAAACGAAACAAATTATTGGCCTCTAGTTTATTTTATAATTTGCATTACATCATGACATATAGGTACGTACTGATGCAGAAATTGGTGATTTTTTCGTTGCATTTCAGTATAGGGACACACTCAGTAGAACCATTTGGACACTTAAAATTGATTTTATTTTACTTGCCACAAATCTTTTTAAGTGCTGCGCAAGTGATTGTTTTGTGTCCGAAAAATAACTGCATTTATAATTATTCGGCTGACTGCTTTTTTTGTTGTAAATCAATCAGTTTCCCAATTAGATTATAATTGCTTGGACTTAGTATTTGTTGCCTTAATTTTTCGAAGTTCATTTTTGTACACATTCAGATTTTTATTTCTTATTAATTTCTTGTGGTCATTTTTATAAATTCGTATATGAAAATTGAACTGTTGACGAACGAAAATCGAACAATAATACACGACAAGCGGGTGCCGAACTGTTACCAGAGATTATGGGTGTCATAAATTACACCCCAGCTTTCCTGAGTTTCAAACATCTTACCACTACTTCTCGTCTTTATTTTTCTACACGCAAACTTCTTGTGAAGACAATAACACGGCAAAATTAAAAATCCGACAGTTTTCATTTAGCAAACATCCCCTTAATCTATTATTAATCGTGTTTTTATTCCTTTAGAGTAGACCCTTCTACTTATTATAGAAAACAAGAAATTTTGACTTACGTGACTATTGCACTGCTACACCATATCAAATATTTTGGCTTGCGTGTTAATAAATTTAAGACAAGAGCAAACTAGCAACACATTGTAATGAAAAAAATGTAACAAAACACAAAACAATCACAGTATTAATTCATTCAACATCTACACTGACCCGCAAAAAAAACCGGCCACAATGAAAAATTTCGCAAAACCACTTTAAAACTTAATTCAATTAGTGATCGTTATTTTATTAAAGGATCATTCACTATTGACACATGATGTACAAATTAGCACAAAAAAGAAGACAATTAAACGCAGAATTAAATTTAATTTAACAAAATAACAGAAACAGACCAAGTACGATACTTTCTTAAAAAAAAACAATAAAGGAGGCTGTTGTTGTAAATAGTGTTTTTCATCAAATTTTAATTTTTTCATTTCGCTCTAATTAACTTTCCTGCCTTTCCTATTCAAAGAAAAATTGATTTCCATGTTTTCGGTCAATTTTTAACTATATCAGAAGACATTGTGCATTTGTTGTGTTCAATTTGTACCTAAATTAGTAGGAGTATCAGATTATCAACATCGACTGAAATCTCATAGCTTCATAGCTTACGTGCATTTCACTTAGTTTTGAGATACGGCAGTCTTGCACTAAGTGCACACGTAATGCTCGGAAATGCAATACAAACATTTTGATGAATTTGAGCATTGCGTAACTATTAAAAACCGTTTATACTTTTATATACTAAAACTACATTAATTTTTTTATGCATTAATGATATATTTAAGAATTCGGCAAATTTTGACTTACGTGGGTATTGCTCTCACAGTGCGATATACAAACCCTCTCTGCTGTTCGTATGGTGTTCGAACACATTCGTGAATTGACGGATAAGCAATTGAGCGAGTCAGTGGCGGAACTAGATTTTGTTGAACTAGGGCAAATAAAACACTTCGTTGAACTACAAATTATGACTAACTGTATTTGAACAATGAAAAGTGAAGGAACATTCTGGAACAGGATTTACTTGTATATATCTACAATGACAGATGGCGCTATTAAAACATACAGAGTAAAGTCACTAGATAGATTAAGTACCGCAATGCTCCTCCATTTTGGGGCAAAAAAGCGGTAAATTTAAATGTTATTTATCTGAAATTTGAATTTTTCAAGGAATGCAAAAATATTTAGCCAAGAGGGCTATATACTTTGGCATATAGTGAAAATAACAGACATCAACATATTATATTATGGGAGGTAAATGCTGAGAAGGTAATTATTTTTTAAACAAACAAAAATTGGAAATTTCCAAAGTTACCAGGTTTTGGGAGAACAAGAATATAAAAAGGGCTGGGAGATACGTAATGCAACTAACAATAAACTAATTATTATTTATTATTATACACGTGCTATACACCACAGAACTCAATTTATGTGACGTAGCAGAGAATGCGTCCTTGAAGCACTTCTACCAGTAAACTTTTAGTAATGTACAAAAGACACTAAAAAGCGCCACCATTTTGGGGCAAAATTGACATATCTCTCTCTAACTCATGGGCCTAATGGATTGCGGTACTTAATCTATCTAGTGACTTTAATACAGAGAGTAAAATCACTAGATGACTTTAACTAGGAGAATTGGTACCAAAATAACACAATTTTAACACCCCCACTATTTTGAACAATTCTCTAAACCTAAATTTTTCACATGGTGCAAATGTTTTGCTGCTGGCAACCCTTTTGTTAGTATGTCGGCTGTCATTGCATTGGTAGCAAGGTACTTCAATGTCACTAGTTTATTGGAGACAGCTTCTCTAACAAAATGGTGCCTCACATCTATATGCTTTGATCGTCTATGATACAAAGGATTTGCTGATAACTTTTGAGCACTCTGGCTGTCATTATATAATACAATTGGACCACTACAATCTATTAATTCGGCTAAAAGTTTCTTCAAATATATTGCCTCTTTGGACGCTTCACTCAAAGCCATGTACTCGGCCTCTGTACTTGACAAAGCTACTGTCCTTTGTTTTCTACTTTCCCATGAGATAGCAGCATTAGACAATTTGAAAACAAAACCGGTGTAGGATCTCCGATCTACATTGTTGCTAGCCCAATCTGCATCTGTATATCCATTTAATTGGCAATTATCTTTGGAGAAACTCAGCCTAAAGGATTTAGTACCCTTTAAATATCTTAATACCCTTTTGGC